GCCCTGTTGGGCGTGCCACTGCACTGCGCACCCTTCTGGTCCGCTGTTGGGCGTAAGCCCATTTATAATAGCAAATCCGCATAGAAAGCCTTCTCGCGGAAAAGAAAGCTCCAACCGACGCTACCCTTTTCTGAAAGACCTGACCAACCGACGGAGCCCGAACGGAAGTCGTAGTCGCCGCACTTCGCTGTCGCCCGCCACACCCGGCCCAGGTTCTCCAACTTCACCCGGTGCGCTCGCAAGACCTCGAGGGTTGCGCTCACATGACTCACATGACCTACAACCACAGAAATTGAATGTGCAAATGTATTTTTGGGTTCATAACATTGTGTGTTTGGTGGTAATATATGATTAATGTGGATATCTTTGCATAGAAACCATCACACAGGTGGAACAATAACCATACAGGAATCTCATGTCATAGTGACGGTGACGGTGGTCTTCCAATGATTCAAAGGGATTCAAAGGGCCTCTTTCTGATGCGAATTCGCAACTCCAACTCCAAGATCAGATCATGGAGAACAGAATCGTGCTATCCGATTAAGAGCAATCCTGGATGGGTGATGGATGTGCGATCATCCGGGATCATGCTAGATCATGACTGTGAAAAATTGTGCCATGCCTGCATCAAGGTATATGCTTGGGGGTGCGCAGTTTGCAACTGCTTTGGTTACAAGGAAATCAGTCTGCAAGGTTTGGCAACAGGTTTGGCATTTTCTGCGCCAACTTAGCGTATCATGTCAACGAAAAACGAACTCCCTCGTCCTTCGCTCTCCTTGCCACAGCTGTTCCATCCCTTTTTTGGGGGGTGTCCATTCAAGTCTTTTGAGAGAACATGAGAGAGGTCATGACACAATTCCACTCCATTCCATCCACTCTATGCGCGCCTCCAGGGAGGCCCAGGGGGGCTCCAGCGGCCAAGGCGGCCGTGAGCTTGAAGTCCACGGCATCCAAGCGAGCACACAGGCGCTGCACCACCGGGCGCGACGCGACGCGCTGGGTGCGTTCAACAGCGGCCAGGTGGACATGTGGTCGTCGTCTGTGGGAGGTGCCTTTGTGCTTGGACCCGAGATCACATGCAGACTACACGACCCAATGGTGTTTGGAATTGATGGCTTTGTTTTTGGATTGTGCAAAGTTGACATGTTTGACACCTCCAAAGCTTTGCCGCGAGGGCCTGGATCACTTGGCCAAAAGCTTGATGAACCTCTTCTTTGGCAGCAGTATCCTCAACATGAACAGCTTCTGCTCAGCGGTGGAGCAGAGCCGCTCAAGTCTGTCCACAAGCGTGAACATGAACAGCTTGTGGAAAGCAAACATGGTGCTTTGTTGCAAACAGCCACAGTTCATGCGACTTCACCTACTAGTAGTAACAAAATGGCTCATGAATCCCATGAACCCCCAGTTTGTTCAAGACGTCTTTGGCTCTGAAGAAAGGCCTCCTCGACCTCGTTTGCCACCTGCGTGGGGAAGAAGCAAATGCGAAGCAGATCGATTTGGAGTGCACCGTTTGAACGCTCAGCTGTGGGAAACGTAGACAGAATAATATTGTACGACTTTTTCATGGGTATATATCGGTATATCCCAGTGGATGATGATGGTTAGTGAAGGGCTTTCGCAAAAATAGTGATCATTTTTTCTCCAGAGGTTGCTCGTAATGGGATGCACCCTAGTAGACCACCAAAGAAACCAGGTCAGAGTAAAGCTGCATTGGCAAAAACATCTCTCTGCATGCTGTGCGAACACTGGAGTGTTCAAACCTGGCGTGTCAAGTGACTGTAAACCACATGGACCCGTGTAATTCACCCGTGGTTTCCACCGTTTCATCTACTTTGATCACATTGGCCAGCGACAAAAGGAGACGCGAAATACTGAAAACCATGTTGACCTGGAAGACTTCTTGGGGCTTCTCTGTTGGGTATCGTGAAAATCACAAAACCTTCGGAGTGAATCTGATGGTTCGGCCCGTCGTTTCAACTGGTGGCAAGTTCCAGAAGCTTCTAACCTTTCTTCTTGACTCCAGTCACCGGTTCGCACAAATGAATATTCTAACAGAAGGTCCAACCTTTCGCTGGATGGCTCCCAACCCCCCTTTAAAGTCGCACCCCCCACAAAGGGTAGAACTGGATGATTTTCTCGTTCGTCCTCTTCTAACCTCGTCCATCAATGCAAACCGTTCATTCTAGGCACCTGGAAACTGCCTTAAGCCGTTTTGTTTCCGGAATTGTATCTTTTTGTACAGCTCCCAAAGCTTCTGCAGCTGATCTGTCGCTGTGAAAACGCCGATGCCACAGCTCTCAGCTCACTGCGGCTGATCTGTCCGTCCAGTCTGAGCTCCAAGTCTGCGAGTCCACGCACGAGTCTACGACCCCGAAAGAACATGATCTCGCCGTGTTCTGCGGCTTCTTTTGCATGGTCGAACTGAGGGGTCATGAGATAGTGCTGAGGGGTTGAATTTCAATGTACCTGGTACGGTAGTACTGGTAGTTTTGTGTCTGTATGTTCAAACGCGAGAACTGAATCAATAGGAATCCATCTGAATCCATCACGGCGGACACAAAGCGATACTTCAAACTCCAAACGGCAACTGAATGTTAAACATCGTACTCCTTGCAAGCAATCAAATCCGTCCTTTGAACCTCCACAACGGATTCCTGTGACTGGCATGCTGCATGCGCACAAGAAACCGAAGTGCAACCTATGGCCTCAGCAGGGCTTTGCAAACCGGAGGAAAAACCTCACCCTTGTCGGAGAAACCTCCAATATTTCACGCATGTACAACAAGGGTGATGTTGAACCTTCGAACGATGCGGTTCAGGTCTGTGCTTGTGCGGTTCAGGTCTGACAGCAAGAACGACGAACAAGTGACCAGCAAGTGGAATACGTTTTCACCTCACCTGCATAGACCATCCTCTTGTAACACCTTGCATACAACTTGCATACAACTTCCTTCTTTAACCAGTTTGAGCTTTGCACTCAGAGCTTTCACCACAGGGTGAAGGGCTCGAGTTGGGCATCATGGAGCTTGAAAACCCAAGCGACCGATTCGCTCCGGTCAAGAAGTTGGAGAAGACGCAGAAACGCTTTTGACGATATACATATAGAAGTAAGACTAAGTATTTCTGACTATATAAAAGACTGAGTGTATTATAGTATTTGTGTATCTATAATATGTTTGTCAAGTGTGTATACCAAGTATTTCTGACTATTCATTATATAATAAATACATACACTGAGTCACTGAGTATTACTGAGTATGGCTTCTTCGCCCTGCACGACATGTTTGGCAAGTGAAAAGCTGCGTCTATCCATGTCTATCCATCGGGTTTTTTCTTTCACGTGTGGTCTTTGCATAGGTGAAAGCTGACCGCACCTCACATTTAAATCAAACCTGGCAGCTAAGATTTGCTGACAAGTGTTCAAACCACCACACATTGCTGAGCACACGACTCGCAACCCTCGTTGACTAGCCGACCAGCAACTGGTTTTGCGCTCCCGTGCACTGGCAAAGCACGCAAGAAAGCAATTGAAACACCAAGTGTTGCACAAGTGAGGCTTATCCTCTTTGACACATCGAAGACATTGCTGAAGTGTGAATCAAGTTAGCCAACATCTGATTGAATCGGATTCCACTTTGCGAAGATCTTTTTTGATCAGCTTCAGCAACAGGTGGTGGTTGCGTCAAGGTGAAACAGTGTTGAAAACCTTTCTCTACTCGTAGGTGTCCTGGACAATGGATGCGGCAACCTTCCTGGAACCCCCCGAAGTTGATCTGCCCCACGGACCCCACAGAAAAGGCATGAAAAGACTTCAAAAGACGGATGCCCACCCCTATTCAACATCCGCGAGCACTTTCACACAAAGAATTCTCTACCTTGAATCACTATGAGTCCATAATACCTGGTTACTGCCAGGCAAGCGAAAGAAAGTTCGAGCGAAAGCTCCGGTCAGGACATGAACTTGTTGGACAATCCTTCTTGAAGATAGATGAGAAGAATTAACATCTATTGAAACACAATTAAGCATTGTTTATACATCTCTTGAGACGTTGACCTCACACTATATGGCACCAACCTGCCAAACCGACAATGCAACCAAAGCAGGTTCCAAGTAAGCTCATGAGCTATTTGCTTCAAAAGGCCTGAAACAAGAGTATCCCAACAAAAAATCATGTGGTTCTCTCTATAATGCTTAGATTCAGCTACTTAGGGTAGTTCAGTCCAATCTTTGAGGCCTTTGAAAGAGTTCGAGTTGTAGAAAAGACCTCCCTCCAAGACCTTCCCTCCCTGGTCCTTCCAATCAGAGACCAGGCTCATTTCGCCAAGCGCGTCCTGGGAAATGAAGCTGCATCACTCGGCCTATGTCACATGGCACTCCTCGGCTGCCTGTAGTTCAAACACCGCATTATTATTTAAAGGTGCATATTTGAAGCCCTTGTTACTAGTAGCGATGCCCTTGTTACTAGTAGTGATGACCTGCCTTTAATACTAGTGCATATTTGAAGGTATTGGACCTCTTCTTCCCTCAGATGTCCAAAATGACCACAGGGCCTGCACGGCCTGTCTGACCCCCAGGGCCCACGGTGGCCCCTCAGGGCGAGCCCTACACAGCAGCACCCTGCTGGGCATGATTGAAATCCTCAACTCACTGTGCACATTGAAATCCTCATGGCCCTCATGTATTCACCGAACTCAAACTGAGTTCGAACTCTCTCCAGCATTTCCAGCTTCACATGCTGCCAAGCTTGAATCAGATGTCACCCATCAGTATCTTTTGAGGAACCAGGCTTCAACAAAGGAAACACCAAACATGAGCAGGAAACCCACCTTGAGCCTGGGCTGGACCATTCTAGAGAAAATAAATTCTGTGGTCCGCATTCTCCATAGCAAAACGGTGTTCTCATGTTTCCTCTAGAGGCATATTCAGCTGTTAAAAACGCTAGTCTTCAGATAAGTCCAACGAATTCTTTGGACCACAGAAATAGTCTCCCACATCCCTTATCATCCCGAAAGCAGCACCAAAAGCTGTTTTTCATCTGGCCCATCGCAGTTGACCCTCAGCTTTCGGTGCTTCTGCAAGAGCTCCTTGACTCCTCGGCATCAACGGCATCCAAGCGATCCAAGGCCATGTGCAGAAACGTGAACTGCTATGAACTGCTGTGATCTTGCAGTGATGAGCTTCCCGAAATCCCCTTTCGCAAACCAGGTGCCTGAAGATCACGCTTACAAATTCATTCATAGGCCTACAGGGTTGGAGGCTCTGCCAGACCCATTCCTTGTAATTAGTTTTGGCATGTCATGTTTTGTCCATATACGTCAACCCAGTTGCACATGAGTCTTAACTTGATAATGCCACACCGACATGTTCCGATGAATTCAGTGCCGGGTGTATACATGACACCATTCATTTCGCAGACACAAACCAACGTGAGGACTCTTGTACAGGGAGGTCCCACGGTGCATTGTAGGAGCTAGGTCTAGACAACACCATCGACTCATCAGAAGTTGATAGATCCCAACTCCCCCCAGCCCCCCAGCCGGCAAAGGGCCACCATATGGGAAGCGTACGACGAACTGCCGTCTGCAAGTCGTGATTGCCCAACCAATTAGGGTTTTTGGTCTCTGAGACTCTCTGAGTCTATGTTCGTAATTGTCCATCTATTGTTCCCACAAATCGAGCAAGTCATGAGCGCTTGCTGTGCCGCAGACACACTGGTCGTGTCAGCACAAAGGATTCCCCTACAGAACAAGTTTCATCAATTTTCCATCTATTGTTTTCCTTAGTCGAAAGGGGTCTTTGGGAGGTCCCACCACTTCAATACACGCCAGACTCGTCCGGTCAAGCGACGTTCGTCTGCCGGCGTGTCGTTGCCCTTGCCAGCACGGCCACCCGCCAAGACCTCTGAAGCACGTCCCAAACACTCCATGGGACTGGAATATATGCCTACATCATGGGTCCCGGACACCCTTCAGTGTGTGCAACATGTGCCAGTCCCATGGAGTGTCTGGGTGTTGGAAGCTGGTGTCCACGCGTGAGACCCGTTGTGAGGGGTTGTGGTGGTTGCTCCCACGACCCCCCTTCACCAGCACGACGAGCACTTATCCAGCATCTCACAACATTGCACGCACCACCCCACTGTGGATACGGTGATGATTGTCTGGACAAATGCGGATATGAAGCAGCTCAACAACCAGGATTTGTCAGGTCTGGATGGGGGTTCCCAACGATTTCCCACATAGTTCCCATGGAACCTCTCAACGTCCACTCACGTAGTTCTTGGGTGAAGATTGGAGAGGTACACAAAAGATCCAAGTGCTCACCATACAAAACGTCTAAGAAAAACAACGGCGTCTTACCTGAAAAAGGAGCCACTGCTCTTGGCTCGATCCGAGATCTCGCTCTGCTCAGGCGCCAAGACATGGATGTCCAGGAGTTCCAAGTCCTTGCAAAGCTCCACTGCCAGTGCGATGCTTTTCACCTCTGGACGTCACTAGGCTTGAAGAAGCTGCAGCGCGTGAATTCGTTGTGCCAAGTGGGGTCTATTGTTGGCCAAGTGGGTGGTGTGGTCCGGTGGGAGATGAAAGCATCAGGTGGAAACATCTTCAGATCCTAGCACTTGTGGAGACATCAGTTCTGTTCTCGCAGCTCTTGCAGAACTGATGACCCCAGAATTGGTTGGAACATCTACAGAAAAACAAAAAACAATGAAAACCAAAACCCTGCAGATTTCCCTTGAAGCAATCCATTGAGGTTAACAATAGACATTGGAGACCAAGTTACTGTTGGTCGGTTCGGCAGCGATGCACAAGCCTTGCAAAGGTCTTTCAGATTACCTAAAACTCGTTGTATACTATGTCCGCAGTATCTAGGGCGTCAGTTCTTCTTCTAGGTGCACAAATTTTGAGGATTGCATTTGCTTTAAACCAGGAATTCACAACGATGTTTCTCCGGGTAACAGGTTTCTCCGGGTAGTGATATTTCAACAGGTTGAAGATCATGGATTCTCCCTGGTCGCTTTCTCCCAGTCGCAATGGACTCCCAGGAGTTCTTGAAGACCCCGCCGCCTCACGGCGTGTGGGACGGTCGGCGGGGTTAGTACGGCGCCTGGCCCTTTACAGGTTCTGAATCTGCATACGATTCCAAATCGGTTATGTAGGGCCTCAGGCGCGCGGCCTCCCCTTCACCACCGGGAATGTATGTCTTGGGACGCCATCCCTTTCAGTTGATGTTTGACAATCATGGGTATAGTCGGTATAGTCGGTATAGTCCGTAGGTGAGGTCGTCAACCGGGTTACTTTTCATATTCAGGTGTTCATGTCTTGTGGCTAAGTCTCACTGGTCAGGGCCATGACCCACAGTGACGACGCTGGTGGATACATGCCGCAAACAGTGCTGATACGCGCCTGTGGGGCAAAATGGACGTAACAGAACCCTGCTTCCGAGACAATCGCAAGCTGCACACCCGCGTGTTTTGGGAGCCACGGAACCAAGAAACAAAGAAAAACGGCATCATCATGGTCGCCATCCATTCCGTACATGTACATGTTCGTACATGCATGTGAGATCATGTGAGCATGTGAATGTACTCATCCAGAAGTAGGCAAACAGTATGTAGTCAACATCCAAAACCAATGTCATTTTACGAATGCCTGCCCATTTCTTCCCATTTCCAGCTACAGTGCAGGAGCTCAACACAACAGCCGCAAAACTGAAACTGCCAAGCAAGCCTAAAGGCATCAAGAGGACTTTGCTCTTGGAGCCTTTCGATTGCTGCTCCTTTGCCACCGCATCCTTCGCCGCAAGCTGCAAAGCCCCCAAGTACCTCACAACGCCGCACGTGGACAGTGTCGACACGCCAAGAGTTGTCCCGATTGAATGGTCAATCTCTTTAGAAAGAAGAGGGTATAGCAGGGGGGTTCTTGTGTCTAAAGCCTTCAAGGATTGTTCGATATGAAGCAAATGTGGTAGCAAGGCTTTCCAAAAAGGGTTAAGACTCAAGACATATAGCCCTTACTTGATCATCACGTTAAAACAAGAAGCTGGCTACAATGCTACCCTTCTGATATGAATCTATATGATTAAAACCTTGAAAGCCACTTCAACAAAGGCTGGTGGCACAGGGGCAACAAAAAGAAACACCCCCGTGGCAGCCGCCTTTTTTTGGAAAGCCCGATTTCAACCAAAGCGCTCCTCAAATCACATACGTGGCCCCATCTTCTCATCTTACAGCACGTGGAACTAGGCCAAGACTAAGAGCAAAACAAAAGACCTGGCAATGAGACGAAGTTGCACAACGAGTGAGAACAAAAAAACAGAAACATCAGTATATTGCTGCAGCCCATGTTAGAACGTTTTATATAGGGGACTCTTGTTTGATCGAGTGTAGCCCTTTCCTGTAGACTTTCAGTTGGGGTATGAACATTCTACTGCGATTTGTTTCGGGGTCGAACTGTTCACTCCAAACATCTCCAGACTGTTGATTTGCTTAATCACATGAACAGCGTATAAAAAGAAGCCTCAGGTCTCGGTAGAGTGCAAGGCCCTGCAAGGCTCATGATTCCAAGGCTTAAAATCAAAACAACTGATTAAGAACAAGTAATATCAATTAGAATGTGTGTGTGTGTGCAAGTCCCACACTTTGTAGGGGAACCATGAGGAAATCGACTCTAAGATGCCGGAGTTGGGATCTCGAAATCCACCCCTCTCCGATGGGTGATGCAAATCAATCCAATTCGTGTCTTCAACCCAGCTCATAGAGTGAAGCCAGCTCATGGAAAAGGTGGTTCGTGAATTGTCATGCACAACTGCACAACTTACCTTCGACGAAGAAAAAACACACCGCAAAAGAAACCGTCTGCTCCCCTGAGGAAACCTTTGTGAGGATGGCTTACAGAATGCACCCTGCACCGCAGAAACGGTCATGATCTCAAAGGTCGGTAGGGCGCTTCAATCGATTCGACTCAACCAACTCCTCTCCACCGAGTCGCGGCCGAGTCGCGCAGCTCATGTGATCCCACTAACCCTTCCCACAAGCCATTACCACAATCTGTCGGCATGAACCGCTTTCCCTGCCGTTCTTCCAACCGCTTTCGACCGGTGTCCCACCCCCACCCGGCCAGAGACGTCCGGCTGTCGAAGATGTTGAGCCCAAGGGGCTGCGCGACCAGAAAGAGCTCGGCCAGAGAGCGTTGGAAGGAGTGGAGCTGTTCATCCCCGAAGCCTTTCCTGGGACAGACCGATTTCAGGCATCTTCGTCACTGTATGTCACTGTCTCAGTCTCAAACCAGTGGATTCAGGTCACACCTGCCGGGTAATACCGGTGTCCGTCACCACTGGTGCTTGGTCTTTGCGAACACATGTTTTGTGTTTTCTCTCCTCGAAACACTTGTGAAACCATGCTCGGACGTCTGATGGGATGTGTGATGGGACTTGAATTGAAGAAGACTCGTGTGTGTGCCCTGTTACGCTTGCACAAGCGCAGATTGAGGTAGATTCAAACGAAGGACAAATCAACACGAGCTTTTCACATGTCAGGGTATTGATTTTCTGTGGGAGGGGTCTGGTGACTACCATCAAAAACACGGATTTAATGTCTGACCCTAAACATTGAACCATTTCCTGCCTTGCCTTTCTCCCTTAAGCATCCTTAAGCATCCTTAAGCCACTGGAAAGGACACCATCAGGCACTGCAAGGGTAGTCTTGGAGGACCTCTCAGGGCCTCACCGTTCCAAACCTGAGACCTTCAAGGACTGAACCGGACATGAGAAGGGATCGGTCGCACGGTCCGTGAGGCTCGAGAAACTCAAGATCCGAGCTGATGCTTAGCCTGTTGAGGGACGAATTGATTAAGTCCAAGGCGGTCCAAGAAATGGATGCAGCAAGGATTGAACGTCACAGGTGAATCAAGCGCCTTTGTACGTCACTCCGATTGAAAGTCACAAACGGAGTCACCAGCAAGAAATCGTGCATGACGTTCGTGTTCTTGTCAACCCTGACCTGAGTATGCTAACCCTGAGCAACAGCTGACAGCAGCTGTAATCATGCTGGACCCGAGTGTCAAACAAAACCAACAGCTTCAGCTGTTTTTCCTCTCTCTTCATAAGAGCCCATTAGCTCGAGCAAAAAAGAAGCAAAAAGGAAGCGGTGAGGCAAATTGTATATCTTGTGCTCAGATATTTGGGGCACAAGGTACAAACATGTGCAGCATAGGCTACTCAACCCCTACTAATTGTGCTGTAGAACATCTTGAGTTAGAGAACCCCCCCCTCATCATCCAAATCCCATCATCCCAGATCGAAACCAAAAAGGACCTCCCCCCAAACTCCGCTAATAATATCCCTCACTGAAGACGGGATCCCCCCCTATGCCGTGCATAACACACCTGCCCAAAGCGTCTGCACTGCTCCGATGCCGTTCACGTAGGCATTCACCGGAACCGCCGAGGCATAGACCTTCGACGCCGAACGTCGAGGAGCGGACGGAACGTGTGAGGAACGTGTGAGGGGCACACGCGGCTCTGGTTTTTGGAGGTCTGGGGCCTGGGGAAACCTTGCAAGAGGTGTTTCTTTGGGGGGGCAAACATGGCAACAAACTGCACCATCATCTCTCAGAAGGTTTGTGGGATACTCTACAGGGGTGAGATTGTCGATGCCCATTCGCGTTCTCTGGCCAAGCCATGCTCAGGTACTAGTGATTTGCTGCATGAACCCTTCTGAAAGTGTTTGTTTAAATGCTCCCTCTGCCACCCATATTTTCCAGTTCATCATGGTCCGGGGTCGCCCTGGTACAATTTGATCGGAAATCCGTTTGTTTGTCAATGCCTCAACTAATCGCTCATGCATACGGATGAGGATCGGATTATGAAGAGGGTGAAATGATGACAATGATTCATGATGATGACGATGACCATGGTGATGTGGCTAGACTTGCTAGAGAATCAAACATTTGAAACCGTTTCACCTCCTTTCACAATAAGTCACCACCTCTGCAAATCCTCAAATCCTGCAGCCAAAGCACCAAATTCACCCGATGAGTTTCACCCGAGAACTTGGTCCTCCGGGAGGAAAGCAACGGCCCAAACGCCCATTGCCGACGCAATACATCCTTGTGTTTGAGACCCCCCCAAATGTTTCACAGCCCAAACTACGCTTTAAAAGATTGCAAAAGATCAACCCCACAACCAATTGCTTTATGTCGCAGTCTCTGAACCATTTTCACTGATCTTCAATGACTCATCCTCTTCCCACGTTTGATCACCCACCAACCCACCAACCCACTAACCCCAACTCTGCGCTCGCAGGTCTTGCAGGGCTGCAGGCCGCAAGCGACCGCCGAGCGGGTGCAAGGGAGTCGCAGCTCAGAGAGGTGCTGCTGCAACGCTGACAGCACCAAGGAGGCCACCTCAGCTGCAGCACAGCACGCTAGTAGCGATGGCCTCCAACCTAGAAGCGATAAACTCCACCCTAGTAGCGATGGCCTCCACCCTAGTAGCGATTGCCTCATGTTAACGACTACAGTGACCATGTTTGGCAACGCTGTCCAGGCCTGCGGGCAAGAAGGTTGTTCGTTGCTGCTTGCGGTTAAATGGGAGCACTTGGAGACGACAAGATTATCAGGCTAGTTGTTTTGGGCATGTCGTCTCATGACATTTACACTGCTCACGCGCTGGTCAGAAGGTGTTGTCTACTCAGCGACAGAAGGTGTTGTCTACTCAGCGCAGCTGGCCAAAAGCCCGGATTTAGGATTGACGACCCACATCGACCCAATGTCCAACTAAATATTGAAGTATTCAATTGTTTACAGTACTCGGAACACAAAAGGGAATTAATGCTGCAATAATCAATAATTCACATGTTATTCTGGAACCTTTATTGGATTTATTTGTATGTAAACGCTTGAACATCTTTAAAACAGCAAGCACGACACAGCAGGACAATTAGACAACGGTCTTTCCACAATATATAAGTAGTGAAAGCAATAAAGCCCAAATGAATAAGTACATATATAATCATTCGAATTGCTTCTTTTGCAAAGCATTCATCTTTTGACATAGCTAAGTATCTGATTTGCAATTTATATAATTAGCTAATTCAGCATAATGTTCACTCTTCATTTCCAAAAACATGTTAGTTTGCTTATTGCAATCGATTTGTTAAAGGTGGTCATACACTGGCATGATCATTCCCCAGTTATTTTCCAATGTCGAGTCTACTGGTACCTCCAACCAACACAAACTTTTGTGGGCTGACTCTAGAATCTGCTTGTTGCAAGCAGCCCGGGTCTACTGAGGTCATTTGTTCTTAGTTGGGTTTCCTCACAAAACATGAAGGCTTTCAGGACAATGAGGCCAACCGGTACACCCCTGAACAGGCCTGAAAAACATTCTAGGATTCCTGAACGGCTTATGACAAATTGAAGTACAGTATGCCCTGCTTGGAACTCCTGTCTGAGTCTTCCCAAGTGTTAATGTGTAATATGAGGCTTTGCCAAAGCGAGTCTAACCAGGATTGCTTCGCCAGATCGCTGCATGAACCAACTGAGTGTTTGCACCTCTGCAGAAAACCCTTGGCACTGCCAAGCCACTGCATCGCTGTCAGGAACTGGCATCTTTAAATAGCCATTCAAGACTTGAAACCTGGCATCACCCACGTGTGGTGCATGCCCCACGAGAACATTGATTGTTGCTGTCGCAAAACATCTTATTTCAGTTCCTCAGAAAAAAAGGGATGTTTCTCCGCGGCGCAACTCTCTGGCTAGAGTTGCAGAGCTCGGTTCTGCCGAGTTGAGGTGAAGACGAGCGAAGAGTGATGCCGAATGCATGACTAATCTCTTAAACAAAACAAGTCTCACACCATATCACACCTGTATGGACTTCAAGGGTTTTCAAGACATCCTCTCACCCCCCCATGGGATGAAACATGATGAAACTCACCAACATGTTGTGCTGAGTGATGTTCATTAGTGCTACATAGCCATCCGTGCTACATAGTGGCTCAGTCTTCGTGCGAAAGCGTGCAACGTCAAACAGCTCTGAGTGTCAGTGTCTGTGTCTTAAGCGATATGTCTCTTCCAGTCTCTTCTGCACCTGGCATGGTTTTGGAACAATCTACATCACTCCAATCTGGGGATCTACACCTAAAAATCCCAGCGGCATCTGCTTCTTGCTTCGAAGTCCATGCTCCTCAAGCGATGAGTTGACCATTCCTTGGTAAAAGGCCGGTATGGATCCAGGGTGTTCTTCTCCCAATGGGCAGGATTATGCAGTTCCTCCCAGATGATACAGGACGTGGTGCAGCGTCCTCACAAAGGACTCCTCGCTGTTTGTCACATGAGGCTTTCTACATCCTTCTACATAAAACAGGAGGTGACTGACTTGGTGATCTGAGCAAAAAGACTCCGTGAACCTCAAAGAACATCAAAGAATCATTGACCCCGGAAAATAAGTACATGTACGACGCGCTTTCGCAGCCACCTTCTTATGCGCATCAGTTCGTGCATCAATTCGGCTCACCAAGCCAGTCAACATGTATACTTTGGCCACCAAGAATGAAGCTGTTCCACGTGCAGGGTTTGCAGGGTTCTGGAGTTCGACGTTACTTCTGACCACCACCACAATCCTGCAAAGTTCCAGTAAAACCAAAACAAGTTCGTAATCACAGAACACCAATGAAGAAACACAACCTTCCCCATAAAGAAAGATAATAAAAAAAAACATCTCATTATAATGCGTGCCCTCCCCTCTCTGTCGATCCACTTCTAGCCGGGTAGCTTACCAGCTCCCGAGTAGCATCAAGGCCGCCGAAACGCCCTGGGCCGCCAGGACGCAGGATGGCCGTTCCTTTCTTTATGTGGACGCATGGGTGGATCAATCAGGCCAGAAAGGCCTAAAGCATATGAAATACAGATCATTCAAGTACAACATTTCACATATCTATGTCTATATATATATCATTCAAACACGACGTTTTACCTCACCCACCAACTCCCATTCAGAAACACAAGGCCTAGGCCCGACCCGCCACAGGGCACCCGTCTTTGTTTTCACGCTTGGGCTATACCGGCAGTTGTTGGTCTTCCAGATTTGAGCGACGATTTTACCGTCAGTCTTGTTGGTCTTCTAGTTGTTTTCAATCACGGGCTGACAGCAGTTTCGATCGGGCATTGAGGATACGAAGCCCACCCTGGAAACTGCACCAAGCAACTATCTGTTGCGGCATTGTCCAACAAGAACTGCGCAATGCCCGGATGCACCGCTAGCTGTGCGCAGGGTCCGCCTACGCAAAAAGGTTGTTCATGCAGATCGGACATTGATCAGAGGTAGACAGCCAGGCGGCTGCCATGATCAAGGGTAAGAACAATAAAATAGTGGTTCCCAGAGCTGTTCAGAGTGGATCAGGTTCGTAACAACCCATTTTGCCGCACATGGATGTGGGCTGTACACTCTAGTGACGAAGTCACCCTACGGCCTCTCTCCCCTCGTCGGCGAAGGGAACCGCTTCGTGCGGCTCTCTGCTCCCCACGTCGCGTTCCACCATGCATACCACCACGAAGCGCGTGGCGCGAAGTGCGACCCGAAGCCTGTGTGGTCGTACTTATACTCCTCCACACTCTCCACCACCGAGCCTGGATGGACCGCACGGTAGAGGCCAGGAGGATATGTGAGGACGGTCTTCGAAAAACTGAGACTTGGTATACAGGACATCTAATATAAATCGACGCTCTTCCTGACATACGCATGGAAGTGGAGTAAACACCACCTATTTGGTCTTCGGAAGAGGGTCATCCGAAATCGGGGCCATGCCATCCTCCATGAGCATTTGGAGGTCATAGAATTGTTGAGTTGCAAGCTGAACTGCTGGGCACTGAACTGCAAGTCATTGCAACTGCGGAGCAGTAGTGTGCCTAATTGTCTCAAGTTGTGCTAAGAGGCAATGAGAAGGGAACTCCACCTGGGAGCAGGACAAGCGTAAAGCACAGGAGGCTCGGACACTCACGGACACTCACCTGAGGTTGTATAAAAACCCCCTATCCTTTTGCCTTACCACTTTTGGCGTTATCGTTTTTTTTTCTTCCTTATCGTTTTACAGGTCCTGTCTGTGTCAAACATCCCAAATCTATATATCTCAACACCAAGAGCACTACCAATAGCCTCCACCAAAGACGTTCAGCCAGTCCGAAAGGACCACAGCAGTAAGACCCTTCCGTATAGCCACATGAACATTCCCTGGATTTCCCTAGTTCCCGTTGAGACACCTTGTGCCACAAGTATTACCACAGGTGCGCACAGAAAGATACACTCCCTGAAATCACCAATGCAAGTGGAAAATTGCCCCTTAGATGACCATTTTCCTCTACAAACAGGTGGTTGTCCACTTCGTTAATGACTCGGAGAGTGAGGGTAATTGCAACTTCGACTGGCAAAGGGGTGCAAAGGGTGACCTGGAGGTTTGCACCAACTCCTGCCCAGCCACTCCATTGAACTGCGAGGGGATCACAATAAAGGCTCCGGCGTGTTCAGGCTTTTGGATCTCCACCATGACCTGCAAAGGAGAGAGGAAGAGTGGCCACTTTCTACTGGTCACCTGACGACTATGACTATGGGCGACACTCTTAGCGACTATGGGCGAACCGAAGAACCCAAGCTGAGATGGTCAAAGAACCTCATTCAGAAGCCGAAGACAAAAGCAACACCGCGACCACAGGGAACTGAGATGGTCGGAAAAGCCTGGACATCGTGTGACCTGGGCTCTGTCCATCTCGCCACCTCCCCAACATATCCGGAAAGTCTCTTCTTCCAAACCCTTCAGGGTTCAAAGGAGAACGCTCCAAATCTGCGATCCTACTCCGCACGCTCTGCCCTGCCTCACTGCTCATGATAGAAACCACCGGCAAGTGCGCATCCGCAGCCCTGGTCAAGAGGGATTGGACCCCTGACCTAGACAGATCCATGACCTAAATTGAGGACGTCTCAAGAACAACAAACACATTCATCACAAACCACCCTTCGTTTTCTTCAAGTCGCACATTTTGGGCCACTGGCTTCTGAACCTTCGGGCAATGAGGAGCACTCGGAGCCGATGAAGCTCGAACCGAGCCGGTGAAGCTGTACGAAACGATGGACCCAACTGACGATCCAATTAGCGGTCCAACCCAACTGGGGAAACCCCTCCCCCCTGCCGCGGCAGGAACCTCAAAGGGCAATCATGTAGACTCTTGATGACTAACCCTCCCATACGAAGAGGATGTCCGATTTAGCTCGGGGGTGTTATTAATCAGTGTTCATTTTCTCAAAGACCATTCCATCTTTGCGGTGGTCCTCATGAGATGTCACAGTGGACAAATATGTGCAACAAACATTTTAAAGTAACTATATATTTAAGTCTAAGTATATTCCCCAATACAATTGGAAGGCATGCTTTTACATGCAAAACCATGCATGTTTTTTTTACATCCAGAAAGTCAAGCTCCAGTCCCATCAGCCCCGTTGGGTGCGGTCGCACCTCTCCAACATGAGGGGCGTCTCAATCTCCAAGTGCTCGGCCGAGAAATAACCCATCCTTGGTATAAAAAATAGGGAAAACAGTTCATTTAAGAGCAAATTCAATTCACCAGCCAACTGCCAGGGTTCCTGTGCAGTGCCGAACAAGAAGGGTGCGTTTGGGTCCGTTCGTCCGAGTTCAGGCGACCTTGTCCCGAAAGGTGGCCACTCCTGTGAGGTCCTTTAGTAGCTCAATGGCCCCGTGGAATGGCATCAGGTCCCTGAGTTGGTGCATCCACTGCGATGGCCTCAACCACCAAGAGCGATGGCCTCCAACCTAGTAGCGATGGCCTCACAAATCCGAAGGGATGTTCTTCAAAGGAACCGGTGACTCGTCTCCAAACCACTTAATTACACTCCCTGGAATAATCATGGAACTGGATGACATGCCCCCCCTTGGATGACTACACCGTCCACTACAAACAGGTGAAGAACTCCACTTCCATGATAATTTCCAGAAGTGTAACCCCTTCCTCCATTGCTCCGGCCCCAGTGCCTGTCCGAGGATCGTCTCGTCTGCTTCGGTCAGCTTCCCAGTGGACACGTCAAAGTGGTAGGTGCCACGACGTTCTTCACCTGAGGAATTGAAAGCCTCAAAAACATCAAAAACCCTCAAACCAAAACGACCATGGGTCCTTCTCCTCTTCCTGAGGAACATATTTTTAGTGAAGAGAATCGAAGGGACCTCGAAACTGAAGTGGTGCTCACTTGACGCAGCTTTGAGCAAGCAAGGACCGACCTCCAACCGATTTGCACAGTCTCCAAAATATGAAATATGGCCCATATGCACACACTCAAATTCTAGAGCCTAACTGTCTGGCACCTTTTGACTCCCACTGGAGAAATGAACCAATGTTTTGTTTTAGCATGTTTTGAGGGTCCTTTATCTGGTGGCAACTTGTAGCAACATGAAACATGGACATGGACCATAGACACACAACAATCCATGCGATACCACAAACAAACAAAAAAAACATCAAAAACAACCAAACAAACAAAGAATGGAATTGCCAATTGTGATTGTGAAACCCTTATTGCTTCACTTGCAAGCTTGATACCCTGTTGTGAAGCCCAAGTTCGGACAAAACAACCACCAACAAAATAGAAATTGCCATCCTTGACATGCTAAACTATTCCTTGGTTCCATACACAGGTGCCATCCGACACTAACTCCTGTGCCATGCCACGCGCTACTGATTCACCCGCTCCTCCATGAGCCAGCAAGCGGTACACACCGCTTTTGCAAAGACACTGCCTCTGGTGTGTGATGGATGAAAACTGGGTGTCAAACGGCCATGACCAGTGGCACCATGCTTTTAGCCACACACGGACACACATCAAATCTCCAAACGTGTGAGGTTGAATGGCACTCCTAACAGGATTTTGGAAACTTTGTGTCGAGACAAGGACATGCATCTACTAAGTTACTTGCCTACGAACCCCGCTAAGTTCACGCAAGTATATTGTAAAGAGTACTGCTGAGATGCCTTTTCATCCATTGGGTGGTATACCCCCGAACGCTGACTTTTGGCCAACGAGAAGTGGAAATCCGCTTGGAGGGTTATGTACCATGTTCAGAAACTATATATCAATTGCTAGCCCCCCCCCAAGCCCTTTTTGACAAGGCCCTTGATGCTTGTCAGCTGTGCGGGTGGTGCCAGATGTGTAAGACCAGTACAAGAATAAAAGACCGGTACAAGACAAAAAGCTCAGCGCAAAACAGGAACGTCTATGAATGGAGAGTCCTTGCTGACGCCGGCCAACAGCAGCAATGAAGGCAGAGATGGTGATGGGATCCTCCATTTCCTGCTCACTTATGGAGCTGCAGGCAAGAGAGTCCAAAGTTGAGAGCGACCAAGACTCGCCCCCGAACTTTGCCATAGCATCATCAAGGAGACTGCCAGCAGCCATGGCGCGCGGAACGGCAAAGCAAAGCGATACCGCAATTGGCAAGAGGCAGCCTGTGAGGAATGCAGAAGCAGCAGAGCAGATACACAATGACTGCGATTGTGATATGCAGGTTTCATACAGATGACATGTCTTTCGACAAGAAATAGATGTTCGTCGGTAAGCGTTTGGTGCAGAACATCATAAACTATTGGGACAACTACATGAAACCTTTGTGATATTTGATGCCATATATATGCAAAACAAAGTTTGTAAGCAAACCTACAATGTCTTGAGAGTGACTAGTTTCAATCTGCGTTTTTTGCGATGAATCTGTGACGAATTTGTGATGCCAAGAGCTCATCTAGGTTTATGATTATGGTTTTTGAAGGTGTCTCAAGTATGAGGTCACTCCCAGGTAAAGTTCAATTTTTAGTCACATCCTCGTGTAAAAGTTTTCAAGTACAATTTCATCCTCAAGTAAAGTATTCCCAAGAACAAATCACACCATCAAGTAAAGGCTTCTCAGTAAAGTTTTCTCAAGTAGACTCAAGCCGTAAGTACAGTCTTTTCAAAGAACGCTAAAGGAAAGGCCACGCTCAGATAAAAAAAGGGGATCACACCACAGCCCTCAGTGGGACCCTGTGGCGAAAACACACTTAGATTGTTGCTCGCAAGAGCTGATGCCAGTACGAAGTTCCCCTTGACATGAGTGAACGGAAAGAACAAGAACCGAAAGGTGGCTGAGTCGATGGACTTGTAGATGTTTAACAAAGTTTGGAAATGCATTAGCCGTTTAGTGCAGGAAACAACGCATTGGACAGCTTGTGAACAGTTTGGAAAATGCAGGTGCGTGACTCCGGCGCCCCAGAGTCATGTCACATCCGATCAGCAGTGTCTTTGTTAGGCAGTGACTGCTGAAAGGACCACTGCCAACAAAATTTCATGTACAGCTTCAATAGCCTTCTGGGCCACCTCAGTGTTCAAAGGCTTCACGAGCTCTTGATGCGAACCAGTGACAAACTTATAGATGCCTCTGGCGAGATCCACGGTCCCGCTTTTGCCCAGCTTCTGGGTCACTTGTCCCACTTTCTGGACAGTGCTGCGCGTGAAATTGCCGAGGTTCATCACGCTCCCCTGCCTCTTTTTTCCGCGCTGAGAAACTATATGTTAGTAGCGATACCAGGAGCCCTAGGCACAGGTGTGGACACACACACACACAACTCTGGAAAACACACACCCGCATAGCGTTCCGGTCTCTCTATTTTTTTGGGGGGGCTAGCAATTATGTATGTATAATTATGTATATTAATATTATATACTCCGGGGTCCCAAGATCCTTGTTTGGAACCAGCAACAATTCAAACATATCTTCATCTGCAACCCTAAAGCCACGGTTATTTCCTAACGCATGTCTGGTGCATACATGTCATATTGATTTTGACTGTGAGGAACGAGCGCAATTATGGGCTACACCGTGCAATCGGGAATGCGTGGGACGCACCTCGCGATCCCAAACGCATCTAGGATCTCCAGAGTCTCCTGGATCTTGGATCTGGACACCGATCAGCTTGGGAGGTCGGGATCTAAGATCCAATCCGTTCAAGGAAGGGTTCGAAAGGAAGGGATGTACGGAGATATCTACAGTAAAAAAGGCTGAGATGTCCGGAGTGGAATGTTAACACTGGGATCAAAACACCTATAGGAGATGTATAGAGATATTATGTTCATTCGGTTCATTGATGTTCATTTATGTATAGAGATGTTCTACTTCGGGCTTTCAATGGTTTTCACGGAATATGACTCATGGGCCATGGGCAAAACGTACGGGCCATATGCCAAAAATGTGGCGCTGGTTTCTGAAAATGTGTTGTTCGAGGCTCCTTGGCTTTTCGGGTAAGTAACACTGGGAGGTGGTCATAACTCATTGACTGGCACTTAGCAGGGATTGGGAAATAGATCCAAAGGAATCTCTATTGGGCACTCCTTCTTCATCATTCCGAATCATTCCCATTAAGGAGTATCCCAGTATCCCTCAATAGTTCGTGCATTCTGCTATCCCAACATGTGCATCTTAACACACCCATCTGCCAGACGGGCAGAAAAGGACCCCGGGCCCCTTTCTATGCATTTCAATGATCTCAAATTCCTCCAAATGGAACATGAACCGCCCGTCATCATAACTCTCACCTTTGGCTCGTAGGATGATGTCCAGTAGGATGGTGTCCTCCATTGATTTCGATTACCCAGACCATCCAAGGGGACTTGTAAAAGGGATTCTGATCAGCACCAGCCACAAGAGGAATCTAAATCATTTACAATTGTCTGAAGATGGTACTTCCAAAAGAGTGATCTTCTTGATCAGCATAACCTCAGATGTTCAGGTGTTTTTTTTTTGCAACTACCATATGTTTGCAAACCTTCATCTCAGCCACATGACACCGGTCTTCTGTCATTGCCGCTAACAATCAGCATGGTTCCAGCATGGTTCCATCCAGCTCAGAAAAGCTCGGTTTCTGCTGAATTGGTCAAACATGTTCAAAAACGCCGGCTTCCTCGGGGCGGACGGCGGACGGCTGAAGTCTCGTTCGACTCCCCCCCACGTCCCGCGGACTCCGAACCGTGGCCTCTGGTTTCGTGTAGCCTCCCAAGCGAGGCCGTCGATGTTTTTCTCTCACTGCGAAGTGAGCCGAGTCTTAGTCCTTATAAGCCCAACAGCAATAGACTGTAATCATTCAATGAATAGTGGATTCTGAAGGTTGGAGAAAAGTGACAAGATTCACCTTTACTCACCCAATCTCACCCATATAGCTGTGCCTTAGTTTCGACATGTTTCTGGAACAACTGGAAACTCACACCTTGACAGCATTCAATTACCAAATGAGGATTCTTGCGGCTGATAGTTTCATGATGTTTCATTAACAAACATATTTCGGATTACTTCTTGCTTTTGGGAAGGACACGTTCTTGCTCGAACGACAAGCATGGGAACTGCGGCAAAAGCTAAGAATTACATCATATTGTATTATAACATGGAATCCACCATGCAGTTGCATAGTTGCGTTTCCATGTCCAATGAACGGAACAAGAAAAACACAATCACATACATAATAATAACAATACATAGGCTGCCATAGGCTCTTATATTAACTAACACCATTGCTCTACAACATAGAGAAGATCGCCGGATCCTCCGGCGTACTACTCCATCCTCCTCCCCTGCGCTGAGGAAAGGCGTTTCGCATGGCGCCTCGTCCTTTGCCACCAGGCCCTTTGGACGGGCCCTTCATCAGCGTCGAGCCAAGCTACAGCCCAGCGGTGCGGAAAGCTCGTGTTGAAGGGATCCAGTGGATCCTTGTGTTGTTTGTTTTACAAAGCCGACTGCTTAAAAAATGGATGACTTTTTCTTGCAATTGTTTTGCCATGTTCTTAGAGTTGGTCTTCTGTCTTCTCCATTATTGTTCGTCATGTTCCATGCTCCGAGCTCCGATTCTTGGGCAGAACTCACCTGTGGCGGTCCGATCCATCTTCTCAGCACAAAACCATCACGATCGACCATCACTTCCATCACTTCCATCACCTCCACCGGATGCCGCCGGGCTCCATACGGCTCCTCTGTGTTCATGGTTGGCACTTCGAAGGCCTCCAGTGTAGCAGCGATCTCCTGCGGGGATCGCAGCTTTTGATTTGAAGTGAGTCTGTCGGGTGTGCCGGTGTGCCCTTTCAAAAGTAAACTGTCGTGTGCGGGCTGCGGAGGACAGCCCAAGGTACACTCCAAACCTACTGGTACAAGCGAACACGGACTACGTAACACCTTTGGTGAATGGAATGGTCCCGCACGTGGGACTCCTGCCTCACTTCATCATGCTTCATCCCTTAAATCCGCCTCAAGACACGGTGTAATTTTCACTGTGCCTCAATGAAACGCTTGTTTCCTTCTGTCTTGCATTATCTTGGTCGTTGCTCGCGGAGCGAGCCTCAGGGATGGGCTCGACTTGAACGCCTGCGCTGGGGCTCAACTTAACCACGTGGGAGCCAGGCACCGAAAAAACCAAGCCCAGGCGCCATCGGACGTCGTTTCACATAGAAACCTACGAATGGCATCGTGGACATGGTTTACAATGGTTTGCATTTTTATGTATCTCTTGACCAAAGTTCCAACGAAAGGGCGCCAAAGAATCCAACGAATGCCATCTGGGACGTCTTGGCGCGGAGGCCATTGGCTAACTCATGCTGACAGGACTGGTGGACTGGTGGGAGAATGATAAGGTGGGGGGGTGCCAATCAGTAGGGTTGTCTCACTCGTCTCATAATGGTGTCTCACTCGCTTTTGGGTCTCCAGAAGCATCCTCTTCGGCCGATCTTGCAATTCCTCTCTAGGTCCAGCACACTCAGTCCCACAAGCACCGTCGCTGTTGTCTCCCACATCTCTTTACTGAACGAGCTGATTTGGAACCCAATGGCAGCCTGGTCTCCCAGCTCTGTAGGAAGGAAACCCACTGCAAGGCATCAGGATCGTGGGAGAATTCCATCGATCTGGAGCCTGAGACGTCCTGAAGAGTATCTCTCATGGGTCTGCCTATCTCTCCAAAATTGACACACAAGATAGGAATCCTTTGGGGGTAGAAGGGATCCTTTGAGGCAACCCTTTTATCTTGAGCAATGCCAGTAGTTTCAATCCAGTCTCGGTGTAGTTCCGACACCGTCCAGATCCGAGACCGTCCCTCCGCTCTTTGCTGCCTTCGACACCACAAAGCGCGTGAGACAGGGCGTCCTTTGTACGTACGGCGGCACACGATGAAGACGGTGAGAACCACCACATCGAAGGGCCAACAAAAACGTGAGGACTAACAAGTTCTTTTGTGCCCTCAGTGGACAATGAATCTTAGTCAAGAACGGATCGATTCTATACATCACAAATGGGAACAAGAAGGCCAAGGAAAATGATGCATGGCCACATCAGCGGCTGTGGGTCAACCCTCGTGCGCACCATGCCCCCCCGCTGCATATTCAATGTCTTGACTTGACTTGACTCTTGACAAAAATGCTGTCAGCCCAATGAATGTGTGTCCGTATGTTTGCCTTCAAATGTCCCGGCCACACGTTTGACATCTTTGCTCAAATACATTCCAAACCTTTGCAGAGTTTCCCACACATTCCCAAACATCTGACACATTCGAGGACATCTTCTGTGATTCTGTCAGAAGATTGGCCCGTACTTCATTTATGGTCAAATTGATTCATCCGCGGAACCTGGAGCCCAGGACCCCTTTCTTTGGGTCCACCGCAGATGGAAAACAGCACGACACACCGATGAGCGGACGGATCGAGTGCCGCTCCACGGATCGAGCGCCACTCCTGAAGTTGCGACACGTCGCCAGCGCCCTGCAGAAGCGAGGCAGTTGGGCATATCTGCTATATATCCATTCCTTATGATCTTCTTGTGATAGATGCTGGGAGGGGGACTGAAACTTTGGGGCAGCTTGAGTTGTTCTTGCTCTGTGTCTTTAGACTTGAAGTGTGGCTTACTTCACCCATTAGAGTCTCCATTTGCTCCAATCCGGAGAAAACACACCTCTGGCGCAGCCAGATCCACTTTCCACATCTTTCCCAGTTGGGGTTTCAAAACCCGAACCCCCTAAAACCCTAGGGTTTCAAAGCCCTGCTAGCTTTAGGACCCGGTCCTTAGACACTCTTCCCTGCTTGTCACAGACACGGAATGAACAATCTCTCAAGACGTTCCGCCTGTGGTGTGGGCGGTGCAGGTGCAGGCGATGGGGAGCTGTAGGCGTTCTCGAGGCTCGGCCTCTCGGTGGCCGGCGTTTTGGGAGAGTTCACCTCTGACGGGTTGGCAAGAACCTGTTTTTCATCATTATGTAGATGTTGTGTGATTGTGTTTTAATGTGGTTTAGATCAAATGAAAAGGAATGAAACAAACACTTCAGCAGGGTCAGCACGGTGTGGGAGGCACCGTAACACCTCTTGCGGTTCTGGGTGCTGTCATGGGCCCTGGGTCATTACATGATTTACATAGGACAAAATCATACAAAATCCCATCTTGGTGAGGCCAACCACATCTTAACCAGCCCCCCCGCTCATGCCTCCGCCGCCCGGACGGCGGCAGCCGCTCCAGCGTCGCGGCGGTGTCTCTCGAACGGGAGGGACGATCACCTTGGGCGAGCTGCGAGGCTGGGGCAAGAGAAAGAGATCTGGGCGGATCAATATGGATCGCCAACAGACGCATCCAACGGGTCACGGTCTAATTAATCGTTATCTATACATACACTACTAAAATGATCCTTCTCATTGCACACCCGGATGATCCTTCTGATCCTTTGAGCACCGTCTGGGACACCTGGGACGCCATCCACACCCTCCATGTGTTTCTTTTTCAGTTGAAGGAGTCATCTGGACAAACAGTTATACACTATATAACTTATAGTTGAAGAAAGATACCACTTTTCATCCAACTGTCCACTTCTCCGCGCATTTGGGGGAACAACAACCACGTGTCGACCTTTTCCCTCCACCCGACGGGTCGTTCCGGCCGCATGATGCCTGACCGAGTCGCAACTGCCGGACCGGAGCCACTGAGCCGGAGTCCTGCAGAGTCGAGAGCGCAGGAAACAGACTGAGTCGGCACTGGATGAAGGAGACCGCAGTCGGATTGTGCATTGACAGGGAGACCTCCCACTGGAAGGAACATCGACCAGTCTACCCTTTGGGCCCCCCTATTAAAATACACACTCATATTATGGAGGGCACCTTTGAAGTATGAACTCAACAAAATGTTTTTTCAACGCTGATAGAATGTTAAGTTGAACACATGTGCTTTTTTGCGATGGACCATTTTGGAGCCACATTCCAGGCGAAGCTTACCTTCAGACTCATGGTTTTAAACGAATGGTTTCGATGTGCTACAGTCTGTGGCTGTGTATGGCTTTGGCTAAATGGTACACGTTACACAGACACCGAATGCCGCCAAAGGTTCCCCTTGGAAGATGTTCGCTACCGATTCAGGGCGAAGAAGAGACGCACATATGCTGGATCATAAACCTTTGGACCGGGATTGACCATCACTTGCCCACTTCTGCGATCAAATCCCATGTATTTGCTCGGATGACTTTGCCCGAGCCACAACCGCACCACCCAGCCGCTCGGCCAGATCCGGCGCTCCCAGATGCACGTCCAGGAGCAGCTGCCTCGGAACATGCTCAGGGTTGAACTCAAAGAAACCTGCCTCAAAAGTGGGAAGCGATCTAAACCCAAAAGGAAAAGAATTAAAGGACCGGATAACCCCACATATGAATCTTTACGAATCTGAAGGTTCTAAAGCACAAAGCAGTCAGAGTCTCAATAGCTTCTACAACACGGCCTTGTCAGGAAGTGATATCAGCTTCCGACAACAGAGGGGTGGGAGAGAAGGTGTAAGAGAGTGATGTGCACGACGGATGTACGAGGTATTGTGCACACAGGTGTGCGCAGCCACAACTAGCCAAAGTAAAACCCATCGCTCTGCCGACGCAAAACCCCATAGTCAAACTCTTTTTCATCGCGCAAATGAAATCAGGTCGTGTTGGTGAACCTGGGCGATGGCATGAGCACTACATTCAAAAGACATCATTCTAGGAACAAAATCTGCTGTAAAAGTGAAGACCAAAGACTTTGGATAACTTCGTTTGAAACATAAGGGGAACTCACAGAGTGGCAGTGACGACTCTTTCTTTT